TGATTCGAATTTTCCTTAAGAGTTCGAAATCTGGAAAACTCGCGAAAGCTTTACACGGTTTTCCATGCTTGGAGTTAGTGCTTGTTTCACACAAACTTTACACTCTACACTTGCTGTTTAGTTGACGCAAGATACAAATTCTTATAAGATAGTTATAATTGTTTGTTTCTTATGTTGAAAAAAATCGAATCTATTTAAAATCTATCGAAGAATCGGATCAATTTAGAATCTGTTCAAGAAGGTAAACTATATACACATTCGACTTTGTTATGTATCTTAAATTTAGAAGAAGACGATCCAAAAACAATGGAGAAGTAAATCGGCATGGATGCTGTTGTGACTTCGAGCAAATTAAAGAAAAAAAAATAAATTTTCAGCAAGATGGATATTGTGCGGAAATTTTTATATAAAAACTTCTCCAATCTGTTGAAAGAGGAGTACCTACCTATTGAAGGGCCTTCCAAGTCGCCAGACCTAACTACCATATATATTTTTTGTGAGCTCACCTCACATCGAAAGTAGCGGTTCACAGAGCAAACAATCTGAGGAGTTGAAAGAAAACGCGCATTTCCAAATAAAAATTGAGGGGGTCCGAGCTTTTTTCCGAAAAATCCGCAAAATTTTAAAGGAATTCATCCACAACCTGTGGGCCTCACTCCATAGGAAAATCCTGTCGTACGTACATTTTTCGTATTTAACAAACAGAAGATGATTAATAAAAAAAACACGAAAAACAAATCTGATATTCTTCGGTAGTTTATCGACTCTATAAGGGCTCTCGATAATGTTCAATTGAAGTACTCGAGTACCAACCGGAGCCATCGAGCATGTTGGGCTGTGGAAACAAAAGAATTCCCTGAAGGCCGATCGGAGATAAATTTCAGCACGTCTGCTATTTGTCACAAAATTAGGCGAAGAGGCTTTTTGCCGTGCCGAGCCTTTTGCAGGTCCATTTTCGGTCGCTGCAATAAACATTGCAATGACAATTAATACGTTGCGAATGTTTCGACTTTTTTTATCCGTATGGGCAATTGGAACCACTCAGGGAACCAACGACATGCCAGTTTTATTGATCTCGAGCCTTCTTGGGGCGCTTCTAGACTGCGAGAATTGGCCAACAGGATTCAGTCTCTGCTGGTGCAAATTTACATTGAAAAATATGCTCATATGCATCCAAGCAATCAGGATTTATCGGTATTCAATCAGTGTCGTTTCAGATCTCCAAATAGTGATAAGTGAGCATCAAATATTGTAAAATATAGAAATGCAATGAATATTTATTGGTACATCATTTATTATTCCTGCAATGGATTCTTCAATTCAAGCTGTTCACACTTGCTTGTACCACCCACGTTTAGCAGTAGGTTGATGGACCTGAATAATAAAGCAAATCGAAAACGACAGTCAATTCTTAACAGTAACAGTTAACAGTAGGCGCTTAATTTTTTATTCGCTGTTTTCCTTTGAGTGCCTCTGAAACGGTTACTTCCAAGTCCAAAAGGTGCCAAATTTATTGGTGATCAGCCATGGCACCAAATCAGGAGATGGATAACCAAATGGAGATAACCTTGGAAAAGATTACGAATACCGCACCAAGAAAGCGATTCTGGTCAGTCCGGTCGGTTTTATCGTCGTTCTTACGTAACATGCATCGATTTAAATAATTCTCGCCTGTTATGTGTGTTTAGCTTTTTGCGCTATTTATCTGCCTGGGGCATCCACTACCGTATCTCTTTCAACATTAACATACTTATTGGCTGGAATTGTGCCGTACCATGCTAAGGTTGGGCATCTTCATCAATGGGCCATTTTATCTGGCCGATTATCGGGCGACAATAGTTTCAATTACCAGGCATTTATCTGCTGGATAAAGTTATTCGGTGATGGGAATACTGCCCTTTAAATAACATGTCAGTAGTAGATATTGCCGCAGATTTGCGAATGCTTGGAGTCATCATCAGTTCAGAAAAATTTTCAAACTCACCTTAAACCACAATTGTTTATTTGAGTGTATATTTTAGCCGACGGAAACCGGATGAAAAACTTGCGCTATTTCAAGAGCTTTTTTATAGCTTGAAATCTGGGTTTATCAGTGATTTAAAAAAAATTCTCGATTGGAACAAGCGAAAAACTTGTTAAGTTTAAGCGGCGACAGGGTTAAATAGTTGCTTTCGGCGTACAGATAATATATTATTTGGGTAATTTGACTTTCGTAACTCAAATGCATTGTTAAGTTCCGGAATCGAAACTGGAATCTAAAAAGTTTCAAAAAGACCACAAGAATGCTGCTGACCGTTTGAATCCGCGGGTTTTCAGTCCAAAAAAATGCATTCAAAATATCATTTCTTAGGCAATAAAAGCCTGAGAAAATTCACTGTCAATATTCAAAATAAAGCCTAAAGTCAACGAGATAGAAAAAATGGAAAGAGTACTCGGCAAACACATTAAAACAAACTCTACCGAATGTGAAAGAGGAAAGTAAGAAAAATATTAGTCTGTGAGAATTTCATGCAAAAACCAAAAATGTAGATAACCAAATGCAGTTAAACAATCTAAAATAATGTAACATCAGAAGAGGAAAAATCGATGAAGAAACTTTTTCTTCCTAGAAGTCTTATAAAAATTATTTCAATCCAGTTTTCTATTTTTGCTTTTTTTATACTTAGTTTTTGCTATTTCTTCGCTCAGGAAAATCGGTTTATTCAACAATTATGCGTTCTATCGGTATTTACCAACATACATATTTTCACCAGATAAAATCATCATACAAAGTTCTTCATCATATTAATTTAAAAAGTACAAAAAGGGGAAGTTTCAAATCTTTGTTAAGACAGCCGTTGATTTTTTGAACATATTTTACGTTCATGGTGCCGAAAATAAATAAGAAAACCCAATTTTCAAACCTCATCTTTTGTCTTTTTGGGACGTATTTAAGTTACATTACAGTTTCTTTATCATGTAAGTTTTCCTGACTGTCTTTCCAATTTTCATATAAACAATATTCCTGAGCTTCAGTCATTTATTTTGATATAACAATTAATTAATTTTTCTTAAAATAGGTGCGCTTCGGTGTTTTTCCACCACCATCAGTTTGTCTAAAACAACCAATTGTTAAAATATTTTGTCCACACATATACATGAATTACAAGAACACTTGTGTGAAAATGTGGGTTTAAAAAAATATTTATATACTTATTAGCACAGCCTGTCATTACTAATTACTAAAACACTTTAAAATTACAATGCACTAAAACATTCTAAAATTATTAAGATTAAAGGCAAGGAATCAAGATAATAAAATATTGGAAAAATAAAATAATTCCACATTTTAGAATTTTAAATTTATTATCTTACTTACTAGGAAACATCTTAACAATTGGTTGTTTTAGACAAACCATGACATGACAAAAGATGATGGTGAAAAAACACCAAAACGTATTTTAAGAAAAATTAATAAATTTTGATATCGAATTAAAAGAATGAAACTCAGAAATATTGTTTATATTAAAATTTATTGTATATACTTTCCTGACCGTGTTTCAATTCCAAATCAAAATGAATTCCTGGGTTTCAGTCATTTATTGTCTTTATTTATCAATTAAAATACGTTTCGGTGTATTTTTCCACCATCATCAGTTTTTACGTGTAGCGTTGTTGCTGCTTTAAGCTTTAACATACATTTTCTATGGTTACTTGATTGACTATGGTTAATTGATAAATAAAGACAATAAATGACTGAAACCCAGGAATTAATTTTGATTTGGAATTACAATTTATATTTTGTCACATGTCCTAAGGATTTAGCCACTTATTTTAGAGACACTTAGTATATTGAAGTCTGGATTTGTCCTCAACAGATACTTAAATAATACAAAAATCTAAAGTTTTATAGCCAATTTTTGCTCAAAAAACCCCGGTTAACACCAAAAAAACCAAACCGATTTGATTCAGAAAAGCTGCCAAATTATGCTCAAATTTTTTTTCGATACAGCCTTTAGTCAAATCCTCAACGTTACAGCATTTTAAAGGACATAATCAGAATTTTTAGCAAACGAAGAAGGTGTTTTGCGCATTTGCCCTGATGGACAACCATACGGAACCATCTAATATTTTTCTAAATTTCTTTTACTAGGCTTTCAGCCCGAACGCTTAGTTCTTCTCTTCATAAAAGCATCAATTTGGATGCAAAATCAGAAATGTCTTCTTGCAATAGAAAGCAAACCCAAACAATCCTCCTAAGGCTCGTTTCCATTGATTTCCTCAGTAAACGGTACCACCATAGGTTCCGTATTTTTCTCTCCACCTTAAGAAGGTCGTCAACCGTTAAGAGGCCCACTTTTTTCTCCATCCAAGTCGATCCCGAGAACCATGGAAAGAAAATTGAAATGGGAATAGACGAGAACCAGTCAGTGCTGCATTTTTCGCATTTATACGGTACTGCACCCGATCCGACGCACTAGAATGATGATGCATTTGCTTTATTTGGTGCGTCCATTATTGGAGAAAATAGCGGATTTTTTTTGCGTGTTCTATCGGAAGCCTTTAGCAAATCCACGAACAGCTTGTGAGTTGCTGCCGTATTTGGCGACTTTTATGACTGTCATAATTTTAGGAGTACGATAATATACGGGGTGTTTATATAGATGAATAAAATTCTTTAAATAGGTGTTAGGTACTGTGGATAATTTCGACTTAGTTATGGTTAAGAAAATGTATGGTCGAAAAAATTAATTGTATTGCAAGTGTTATACTTTTCTTGTACACATTTTAGCTGTACAAAAAATACACTGAATAAATTTTAATTTCTTTTACTTCCACTTTTTGCTTTTGCTTGCGCGTTCGTATATTTCCTCTTTATGTTTGTTTTTGTTCTAAAACTTTTTTAGTCTGGATCGAACTTTCTGGCTGTGTGAGCCAATCCAGAATTCGTTCTTTTTCACTTTTATTATATGAAATAAAAAAAAAATGGTCAATATTTCTTTTTAAAAAATGGGACTTACCATCCTCTGTCGTATTTTTGCTTATGAACTGCAACCGTGAATCCAAACATGGAGTTGTCCTCTGTTCCGTACACCGCATAATTGAAAGCGTCCACGTTAAATCCCTCGGCCGTGAAAACCGACCAAAAAAGCACAAAAAACAACACTTGATAAAAACTTCCCATAGTCCTTGCGAAATGCATTTTAGCCACTATTTTCGCAAAAAAAAACTAGTCGCGCACTTTATTGCCGATTGTAAAAGGAAACGCTTTATTTTCAAAAACCGACTCAAAAAAGCAAAAGGCGCATGTTCATTTTTTTGGCGAAATTAGAAAGAGCGCGTGCGGAGCGCACATTTATGCCGATGTCGACATTTTTCTTCTTTCGCGGGTTTTGATCGACTAAGTTGAAAAACACTCAAACTTTGCCGCAGTTAAGCGCAAACGGTTTTAAATTGCTGATTGGGTGGGCTGTGCCCTCTGGTGATCGTTTTCCGATCTGAGCCTCGACTAGCCAAGTTTCAAACCTAATGGTGGAAATGTTTATAGCAAGACTGAGTAGTTATGAGCAAAGCTTAACCTTAGATTAAACACCACAGAGAGTATATTAATATGAATAGGAGGAGGAGAAAGGCAGTAATAGGGGAAACGAATGCAGATTTTGTGAAATTTCAGACGCAAGTCCGAAACAAGCAGCCTGCTATCGATTATTACAGTTTTTAAGAACAACAGGGCTGTGCAGGAAATGTACTAAGTAGTGAATGCAATGTACTGCTTGAAATGCACTTTCATTAAAAAATTTTGCAAACAGCGATTTTCTTTGCAAAGATACAGTTTTTTTAAGTAAACCTGCCAGCTCCCCAACAAATGTTCTTGAGGCAGCAGGCGGACACAAATAAAAAATGTAACTTTTGCAAAACTTTTGTGGTCAAAACCCTCTATATGGCTTTTGATAGGACTGAAGTAGTAGACTTTTGGCTTTTGTGTCAATAAAAAGTATCTCTAATATCTTGCCAGGAAAGTGTTTCTGTTCTGATTCTCTTAAGTCGCTTCCAGACAGACAAACCGAATTTCGGGCCGTCATCCCACAGCCATATATTTTTACAGTAAAATTAATTAAACCGCACTTGACAAATCCTGTTTTGAAAATTTGTCAAAATTTGGCCAAAGATGTCATAGAAATTAAACTTCCAGGCGTTATAGACTAGAGTTTCCTCTATTTAAGGTTGAAAATACAGCGCTCTATTTTTTCTGGTTCCTTCGTGGCATTTTTTTAACGCTCTTGGAAGAATTTCTTGCTTTGCAACTACTTCGGACGGGTATCAATTTGAAAGTGAAAATTTGGTGCAAACCACCAAAAAAATAAACTTTGAGCAGATATACAGTAAAGTTTTCTCTATTTAATAGTGTGGAAAACAATTTTTAAATGATCTTTACAAAATTTTTTGCCTCCAAACCGCTCTTGACAAATCCTATTTTGAAAATTTGCCAAAATTTCGTTAAAACTTGCACAGAAATAAAACTTTGAAGAATTATAGCCTAGTATTTTGTCTATTTAAGGATGAAAAGACATCGCTCTATCTTTTCTGATTTTTTCGTGGCAATTTTTAAACGCTCTTGGCAGATTTTCCGCGAAAACCGCTCCTACCAATAGGATTTTAAAAATTTGTCAAAATTTGGTGAAAACCGCCGAAAAAATCAAACATTGAGCAATAATAAAGTGCAATTTTGTCTATTTAAAAGTGTGAACAATAGCGCTTTGTCTCTACTAATTTCTTCATAGGTCAATTTTTAAATGCACTTTGCAGATTCTTTTTTCTTCAAACCGCTCTTGAGAAATCCCGTTTTGAAATTTTTTTACTTTTACTTGTAAAAGTATATGCTCACAGCGATCCGTCGGTTGTGGGTAAAGTGGCGGCCCATAAAAGAAATTTTGAGGAAATGGCGCCGTAAATGTTTCGTTGTTTGAATGGAAAGTCGAGCACTTCTTTGACTATTGACTGGAAGAATTATTGTCAAACGCTCCCTCAATATCGAGAAATGCTGTCAAAGACATATCTTTATCCTCCAGCAAGGTTTAAGGTGCTCTGGAAGTGAAGTAGACGATAATGTTTCTAGTTGTAATAGTTTGGCGGCATTTTAAAAGAAAGATCGAAAAGAGCCCTAAGTCAAATAGCAATAGAAAATTAACAACATGTTTATTAAGTCATTGAGTTAATCCAGACGAATAAAATTACAAAACAACGCAAAGTATAGAAAACCCAAATTTTCTAAATGTAATTTCGCAATTTTCAGCCATTTCAACAATAAACTATCTTGTTGCATAAACTTTCCAGCTATAAACTATCGTTATACACTCAATTTATGAGAACTATGGTCACTTTTAGGATCCAAATATCCGATTTTTTGCAACTAAAATTGCAGCTATTTTTTGCAGCTAACTTTACGTGCTTTAAGTGCTTTCCAGTTTAACCAAGGGAAACGCAAATGATTGTGATTTATTGAAAACGCAAGATTTCCAGTCCCACCAGGATTTTTACCTGATCGGAGCCTCTGAAATTTACATTTTTTTCTCTGAATCGATCGAAAAGACCTGAAAATATCTTAGTCATCCTAAGAACTATATGTATTTTAGTACACGAAAATTGCAGGTCAAAGTAGGGCTTTGGATCTTTCCAAATGCAGAATATTTTAAAACTTTTATTGAAACATCTTTGAAACGCTTGGAAAAATCAGTTTTGTTGAGCTGTTTGATTTCATCGCCAGTCAAAACAAATACTTCACGTATAGAAATTCCTCATAAGTCAAAGTAAAAACCGATAAAAAAAATTTATTTGTCGTATATAAGAATCATTGTTATAAAGCGATTAAAAAGCTTCATTTTTCATCTTTTCCATCATCTACTCCAAAAACTAGATCGAAAATGAAAATCTAAAATTCAAAGAGCCTCAAGCAAAAACTCAAAAGCTAACACCAAAAGTTAATGAATATTTAAATATTTTCATTTATTTTTCCGGTATGGAAACTATTGATAATGTCTGATTGATAAACAGACATTTTCGAAGTGGCTCAAGTGCTAAATTTTCCCAATGAAGCTTCTTTAGAAATCTAATRAAGTTASAATTTCTTGAAATCATAATTTCCTAACAGATTTTTGAGAAGTTGACGACGGCTTGTTCAGCTTCTGTTAGTTGATACAATTGATTAAATTWCACTATATTTGGCAAAAATATCGACTAATAACCAATTTGGATGAGAAAACGGACTTAATCSAAATGTTTGCCAGGTAAAGTTGTAAATGTTGTTAAATGGAGTTTTCTCCAAAAMATTGTTACCCCAATTAGTTTTTATGTTTTACTCGTAAGTAATCCYCGCTGYTGTTTAAAAAGGTGCCTTAAATAGCTTAATCAATTTCCATGTTTTGGCMGGAAGAATTTTYCCTTCCTGTGTCSGAAATAATTTAAACTTTATTTAACACTCGGGCATTTGTCCAACTTTCACCTTTGTGAGATAATTGGGACATTMAAACRCAACAAWTAGTAAACTRCCAAAAAAAGRAAACAAAAAAACTCCCTTAACAAAGACAAGAAMTAAAACTATGTCGACATAAAATAATTTTCTTGTGTCTTCTCCAAGTGTTTGATATTTCAGTACTCRAACAGTACAAATGGTTCAACCTGAATGAACCCTCACAGGCCATCAACAGGAAACTCCTGCTGCCTTCCAATGTTATTTAGATTTCCAGGAATGGTGCTCCCTATTCCTCCCACAAACATATTTTTGCATCATTTTTATTCTAGTCCTCCATGAGCTCAGTGCTCAATTGAACGCAATTAGACTCTCTTAAAATTCTTGGGTTTATCCGTTAATAATGCGATTGATTGCTGGTATTTTAAGTCTGTTGTTTTGCTTTTGTTGGTCAGCTGGTAAGCAGGAATCGAAATGGCGGGGCTACAGTTGTACTAAATATTTTTTGTTTGCAGACATTGACGCGATTGTGTTCGTAATTCTTTCGCAGGAAGATGAATTTCACTATAGACTGGCAAATGAGCTTCAAAACAGCCTGCAAGAACAATCTAATTATATCAATGCATCAGTAGGTAGTTCTTGGTCAGTTCCGAAGCGTTTAAACCGCACAGTTCCATTCCAGAAAAGGCCAGCAAACATCTTCATTTCGCCAAAATCTTTCAGTTTCCGCCGATTGGACCATCACGCAACTGATTGAACCGGTATTGACAGTGGCACCAAAGAGCGCCAAATGGGTGATTTTTCTAGAAGATCGCACCAAAGTCACGTTGGAACTTTTGGTGAAGGGGCTCGCAAAATACAATCCCAACCAGGTACCAATCAGTACTTGTGCGCCCCGTATTTTTCTAGTTGAAAGTTTCTTTAGGAAATTTGGATCGGCCATCAGTTGCAAGACGCTGAACCATCCATCATTCATCACTTTTTTTTTGACGAGAATCCAGACATTTTTAGGTACCCCAATATGGGTTCAGGCTTTGCCATTAGTGTCCCATTGCTGGAAAGGTAAGCAAAATTTGATATAAAAAATGATAGTGGAATAAAATCTTGGAAAATTGTCGGATGATTATTATTAATATCGCAATTTATTGATGCACTGATCAAAATGTACGATTCGATCCAAATCCAGAGATACATGCAAATACACTCCAAAAAACGTTTTAGTTTGGGAAGTAATTCGCCAATGGTCAATTTTTTAAATTAAATTAAGTTAAAATAGTAACTTAAATTAAGACTGGTGCAAAGTACAGATTTTTGAACGTTTAATAAAGATAATCAGGTAATTCGCCTCAACAGTTTTGTTTTTTCAAACGCAGAATTTGTTCCCGTCTTTGTAGGTTAGGTCTATTGTAGGTTGGTAAAAAGTGCTTTTATTTTAAAATTAAGAACGAATTGTCTATCAAAAGGTAGAGGTTAACACCTAGAGGGTATTTTATAGGCCTGGGTAACTCAGTGAATTTTTAGGAATATGCGCACTATTACGCAACTGGCATGGTGCGCTAACCCAATACACCGGCGCAGTAACTCAGTTTTGTTGCTTGGAAAATGTTGATGACTTTTTTACTTTTAAGGGTCATTTATCAATAATATTTTTCACATTTCTTCACAATTTCAGAACTTTTCAGTTTTAGCAAAGTTACTCTTTTTTCTAAATGCTCAATTTTCAAAAAATTAACTTAAAAATACTGACAATATTAAGGTATTTTTCGCGAAAAATTAGGAAATAAATTTTATTAGAACACTCGCATCCTTTGTCGCTTTGTATAAAGTTCTGAAATCCCTTTCCAGCTTCGAATTTGGGACAAAAATCAAATAATTTTCTATAAAAAAAAGAACTTAATAAGCGAAAGTTTATAATCAATTATTTGGAAAACTCATCACTTCCCTCCCTCTGGCAACTGCCGAGTTTGTTAAATTGTTTCTTTAGTTTTGCCTGAATTTTTTTTGCTTTGCTTTCTACTCCAAAACGCTATATTTTGTAGAGTTTTACTTAAAAACACTGACGATTTGGATGTATTTTACGCGAAAAATTACAAGATATATTTGTAGGTTTGTAGGAATTTTACAAAAACTTTTTTCGGAATCAATTCGGGACAAAAACGAAAATAGTACTCAACAATGCCGTTTTCTCCGAAAACTATTAAGGTTTTTGCAAAAACCCATCACAAAACTAAAAGTTTTTAATCAAAAACGCAAAAAATATACTTTTCTGATAATTTTCTTCTTTTTTGACAATAATGGGGTCTTTGCAGCCAAAAATAACAAAATTGATTTTGCTAGAAATTTCTCCTCATTTATCGATTTGGAGAGAACTTTAGAAAACCCTTTTCAGCTTAGAATTTGGCACAAAAACCAAATAATTTTATTCAGTTTTTACCGAAAGCAATTAAGATTATCTTGAAAAAACGGTCAGAGAGAAAAAGCTTCCAAAAAATTATTTGAAAATTTGCCACCATCATCGCTCTGAAGAATTTTCAAGTTTGCTATTAAGCAATTCTTGCTACGCAAAAAACGTATTATTTTTAGTTTTACTTAAAATACTGACAATATTTAGGTATTTTATGTGAAAATTATGAAATATATTTTATTGGCTAAACACTCGGCACGTGAATAACTTTGTAAGATTTTTTCTGGAATCTTTTGCAGCTTCGAATTTTGGACAAAACCCTAATAATTTTTGCTAGATTTTTGCCCAAAAATATTTCCCCGAACAGATCAAGTGAAAGTTTATAATCAATTATTCGGAAAACAAGGCACTTTTGTCGCTGTGAATAACTTGGTTTATCTAAATTCCGGTTTCTTCAATTTTAGGCCAATATTTCTAAACAAAACTCTCTCTAAACAGAACAACGCGTTTATTCCTAACGTTTTACTGTAAAACACTGGAGTGAACTGAGAGTCTTTTATGCAAAAAAAGGTAAAAGATGGATTTTACAAGAAAAGTGATCGTCTTTACAGTTTGGTCTTCTTGATTGTTCTTTTCGAATACCCGTTTTACCTTTGAATTTGGGACAAAATCTAAACAAAGTGAGCTCGTTCTTTTTCAGTTGAATTAATTTTTCTCACATCTATATAACACAGAACCAATTAACAATTAAATTCACTACTAAAAAGAATGAATAAATTAAAAATTATAAATACATTTTATCAATGAATAAAACTAAAACTCAGAGCGATTTTTGATACATTTGTATTAATTTGGCCTTGTTAACCAATTTATTAAAATACTCTTTTTGGGAAGCTTTTGAAATTGAAAGCTCAAGACAACTTTTCTAGATGAATTTCTTTACTAATTGGAATTTGTTTCTTACAGCTTAAGCCTAAGTGCGCTTTAGAATACATATATAACTCTTGATTATATTTTGATTCGATGATGAATTCGTTCTTTATGGTGAAATAAGAGCATTTTTTATCAATCAGCAATAAAAGACGTGAAGAAATTCACGGAAAAACGACAATAAAATTGGGGCAAAATGCGCAAGAAGAAGGTTTTAAAAACATGAATTCGCCTCAACTATTAAAAAACGTATCTACATGCAACGAGTTGCACTTGGACTTAAGCATTTGCGATATATTGATCTTTAACGAAAGACAATCAGATTCCATTGAGAAACCACGTGCTTTAAAATGCCAAATCAACAATGCTAACAGCACAAGTTTGCACTTAAAATTACCTACTTACATTTTGTGTTTTCCAGATTGAAAACACGCTTGGATCAACTGAAACCTTTAGATTTTCACATCGATGCGGCTCACGAATTTAGTTTATTCGTTCGCAATCAAGGAAGTGGGCCCTTGATTCAACACGATGAACTTTTCTGCAGTAAAACCCAACCGAATTGTGCCACATATCCTGCAAAGTTTCATCCTTGTGTAGGTGCCCAGTAAACCAAAGAAAATGCATTTCAAATATTGAATAATGCCCCAATTTCGATAGGGGGTAGCTGATGTGGATTCTGTGTTTTTCGCCGTCAAAACGTGTGAAAAATTCCATACCAATCGAGTGAAAGCCGTTCAAAAAACCTGGTACGGGTTYGCCAATGAGAAAGCGTTCTTTAGCGACCTGGAAGGTAAGAGATACCTTTGGAGYAGTGATGGGAATAATCAAMTGATTSGATSKTRRAAGGAATATTTTCAAAATCGCGTTGMAATCTGTTCGACTTAAAAGGATTTTAATCGCATAATTTGAATTATTTCGAATTGCTTCTCCAACGTTGTTTTTCTCATCACTTCTTTGGAACTCATTCTCATAAAGGAAATTTKTAGACCCCAGCATACCAACAGTTTCGCTGAAAGTCCCCAACACCAACCAGGGACATTGCCAGAAAACTTTGGCCATTCTTCAATATTCTGTGAAGGAATTTGAAAAAAAACCCAAACTGCAATGGCTTGTTCTGGTAGACGACGATACCATCTTGAGGTAGACTGAACAATTGCGAAAGACTCGAGTTAAAAAATCAATTTCTTAAAGCGTTGCAAGGATAACCAAGTTGAAGACATGTTTCGAAAAGGGAGGTTTGCCCATGATTTTGGGAGAACGGTACCGATTTGGGCCTCAAGGCTTTGACTATCCGACTGGTGGGGCTGGCACTTTGATCAACAGGAGAGCATTAAAAATTCTGGCGAAGAAATGCAGCTGTCCCCGACCGGACGCCCCTGATGACATGGTATTGGGCAAGTGCATCCAGGATTTCCAGATAGTTTTCGTCCATGTACCACAAATGCATCAGGTTTGGTTAGTTTTATCGGGTTTTGCATAGTTTACGCCAGATTTTTTAGGCACGACCGCAGGATTATGCGCCGGATCGTCTAGCCACTGATGATGCCGTCACTTTCCACAAACACTGGATGATCGATCCAGTTCAAGTGTACCAAAGGTGGTTTTTAGCGGAGGATCAGCAGCTTCAGGTTGGTCCATTCAGAACCGAATTATGATGATAGTAAGTAGTCAGTTTTCATTGATTTTTTGGCCAAATTGGCAATCTTCATGGTGAATTTTCAGTCGACTATATGGAGTTTTTTTGGAAATTGATCGAGGTTTCTTTAAAGAACACTTGTAAATTTTGCTGTCCCCGTGTATAGGTGAAGAAAATAAATTTCATTCTCAGCAACGTTGAGTCACATGCCGTTAAAATGTCCCAAATGATTTTTATAGTCGACCTAATCTGCCTTTTTGAAAAGTTTGTACAGGAATTCCGGTTCTTGAACCTTGGCAAAAGGTGTATTTCCAATAAGAGGACTATTTGAGGTTTCAGTCGATTTCGTAGCAGCTTTGTGTTTATTTTGATCAGGTCTCCTTCAACACTGATACCCAAACGGAAATCTGTTGTTTCAAGAACCTTCTTGTTTAGAATTTTCTAGCTTTTTGCAAGCGAAAATCAGATGAAACAAAAATGTTATTATTTTGTCAACGAAACTTAAACCGCTCTAAATCCGCAAAATTCTATATTATTGCAAAAAAGTGATAAATTTTACGAGCGGAGTAACACAAAGGCTAAATCATTCTGATCCGAAGTAAACGAACATTAATTTCGAACATTATTTTGAGTTGTTTTTGCGCGATTTTTACCAGTAACCGACGATATCTTCTTTATTGTACATAGTTTCAAACACCCAATATTTGCGTGTTGAAGAGCTTGTCGAGTCGAAAACTGGAAGAGCTAAACGGGCTCAAACCCACATTCCAAAAGGTGTTTTTCACCGAAAAAATTGTAAAATATAACAAAAATTTTCCTGTTTACCTACTGTTTCACTGAAAAGTCTTGGAAGAGTCTTGTTTTAATGTTTAATCAAAATCAATTCCTGGGCTTCAGTCATTTATTGTCTATTTATCAATTAAAATATGTTTCGGTGTTTTCCACCATCATCAGTTTCTCTAAAATAACAGAT